AAGAGTGAGACAACTTGCTCTTCTCTCAGCCTCCGTCTGCAGAGAGATGTGTGTCTTCTCTCAAGATTTCCAAGCCTCAACACAGCACCAGTATATGCAACCAAGCTGCAGGCTTTTCACACCTCTCTCCCCTTCTTCAAGAAGAAAACCCCCAAAGAATCTGAGACCAAAGAACCAGGTGTCTTGGAACGAAGTATGAAAGCACTGAAGGATTCTCCAAAGCCAGCTCTTTACTTAAGCCTTGCAGGGCTGATTCCATTTGTTTCCGTGCCACTGTCAATGGCAATCCAAGGGACCTACTCCCCAGAGCTCGCCTTTGCTCAGATTACATACGGTGCAGTAACAGTCTCTTTCCTAGGAGGAATGAGGTGGGGGTTTGCTCTCCCAGAAAACAGCCCTGCCAAGCCAGACTGGCTGAACCTGGCCAACAGTACAGTTCTTCCTATACTTGCCTGGCAAGCCTTCGTTTATGAAGATATCACTCATGGTGCAATAATGCTAGTGATAGCCTTAGGGATAGCACTACATTATGATGTATCCCTTCTTCCTACTTACCCTAGGTGGTTTAAAGTACTCCGGGTACTGGGAACAGTGGTGATGGTATTTTCACTATTAGCTACTGCAGCATTGAAGACTATTTCAGAGGAGCAGCTAAGTAAGAGCACAAATAAATGGCAGAACACAAAATAATATACCAAAAAGTTATTTATCTGCCAGTAAGATATTTGTATTGAGTTCCAATGGAAATACTTAGTTGTGCTTGTAAGATGGCAGCGCTCAAGATGTTTAACCATGAAGCAAACCACTTAGGTAGTTCAGGAGGGAATGACTTTCAGTGACTTTCAGCGACTTTCAAGGCAGGCACAGGTCTGTCATCTGTAGAACAAAGCATCACTTGAATGAGGTATTATTGTTGTATGAATTTAAAATGAGGATTCAAATGAAATGAGTGAATTGCTCCATGCTGAATTATTAAAGTGTCTGATTTAAGTACAATGTGTGATAATGTTCCATGCTGGGGAGAACGACTCAACAGTAACAAGGTGAAAGCAGCTCTAGTTTAAAGAGGCAGCAGAGAATTATTCAAAAGTACATACATGTTCAATTCCTGTGCTGGGGGGACAAAACTCTTCTGTGTCTTATTTCAGCTGAGGTGGTGAAAATGCTATGTGCTGAAGTGCTGGTCAGGTAAGAAAGGCTATGCACAGTTGGATTGCAGTGTAAGCCAAGGTCAGCAGTCACCTAAAATAGGTCATCCAGCTGCTGTGATGGGGTAGGGAAAAGCTGAAGGGGAAGCTTTGTATCCTTGACAAGGTACCACAAGGGAGTGAATGTTACCTCCTACACAGGCTTACATAAATTAACAAAAGGTACCTGGGCCATCAAGGAAGCTGCATGCAACACAGTCATGAAGATCTGTCATGCTCCTAAATTAAAGTACTATCAACTGATGATGTGACACAACGACTCAATCACTGCTGCTGAGGGATCACGTAATGGGATTGAAAGTGGTTTGCATCTTCTCCTACCTCAAGACTTGATTTGAGCACCTGCGCTAGGCACAAATGGATGTGTAGTCTGCAAACCCTCCATGATGGATCAATTATGAAAATAGTGCAGGAGTGCACAAATAGTGCTCTTTGTACTTAAGTACATTCCACAGTCAGTTTTGAAAATGCATTTTATTATGAAAAGCTGTTTAAAACAAGCTTAAACTTGGGGAAAAAAAACCCCCAATAGACATTCGTTCACACACATAAGAAATCCCTTTGAAGTAAAAGCACACACAAGATTATAGAACGATCAGAGAAACAAATGCTCCATCATCTAGCATGTTTTAGCCTGGCCTTGGAGGCTTTTGTTCATGTACTAATTTGTTAATTTTACACAGGGGATATTGACCTAGACAGCATGAATGGTCCTTTGTCTATGCAGTGCAGGCTGCCTGTTTTGTGACATTCCAGTTGTGGTTTTGTGTTCTAGAATAACACTGTCTATCAAAGTTCAAGCAGCCTTCTTTCAGACTCCATCCAAATCATCCACAGCTGTGCAGAAAATGCAGTCATATTGTGCAAACAGCAACTTCAAGTATGTTAATTAAATGAATCTAGAAATAACTCCAAACTCCTAGTAGCATTGATCTACTAAGCGTACCCAAACTAAATCCAAACTCCTTAAGTCAGAACACACTAATAGCAGCACTTCGATGCTGAATGCAGCTAATTAGATCACAAAACACTCCGTCTGCTCAGATTTGGAAAAGGTAGGATGCAAGTTGTAGCAAGGACAAACGTGTACCTTGTAGAACAGCATGTATTCCAATGCCAAGTCTCAGCACATGTCACACAGGGTAAAAAGCACATTAAACTAAGGGGAAAAAAAAGGGGCAGAAGGCTTTCCCGATGTATTTATACTAAAAGAAATACTAAACAGAACAGCTAATCTAATGAATAGCATTTCCACTTAAAAGTTCAGCAGAGCTTACACAAATAAGAGCTCTACTGTCATCACTGATACCACTGAGAAGAAAAGCCTATGCTGAAGTGGAATGGCATTATTAGAACTGAGAACAGCCTTCAAGAACAGGAAATTCTCAGCCACTCACCATCCAAGTTAGTGGAGTGGACAGAAAGTAAATATCCAATTCATATTTAATGCCCATCGTGTCCAGCAGCAGTGAAGAGGCTCAAATGCACCGAGGTCATAAGTAGAGGTACCAAGTCTTCCCCATCTGTCATCTTCTCCTTCTTGTCTTCCACCAGAAAAGGACAACTGATGCTGACCAAGTAGCCTATCTGCTCTGATCTACAGATAACTTCTAGCTGTCTATAGTAGCCTCCTTCCAGATTGTAAAGCCAGCTAAAGACACTAGCTTTGGTGCGAGTTAACAAGATTTATGTCTCTGAGGTGATGGAATGATTTATTCAGGTTTTTACAGGGCAAATTCGCTGTTTATTTCAGAGACCTTACCTCAGTCATAAGAGGCATTCCTACTCTTAACAGAATACTTCCAGAGACAGACTATGGATAAGTCAATTTACTTTGAAGGGCAAGAGTTTTACTATTTTCTTTTGCTCAAGAAAAGCCCTCTGACCTAATTCTCCACTGTCTCTACTGAAGCTCCTAAGTTAGAAGAGGTTTCTGGCCAACGAAATCGGAAATCCAAGGAGACAGATTTACTCATTCCTTGAAGGAGTTTTCTTCTTTGTGTTTTACAGCACAGCTACACCTCCTTCGCAGCGGCTGGTGATCATGTTGGCAATTTCAGTCCAACTGTCCATATGGGGGTTATAAACTTCAACAGAGTCAGAGGTTACTGGAGCAGCAAAATCATGACTGGGAGCTCGGCCTCCCGAGGCATAAAGAAATCCATTCACAGCCACAACACAGACACCAGCTCTTGGTATCTTCATTGGTGCAACTTCAACCCACCTTTCCTAATGAGAAGGTGAAAGAGTTAACAAGTAGTTTTAGGGCAGGCTCCAATTCTGCTTAAAGACTGAAACATATAAAAGAATACTACACATACACTTCACAGGCTCAAACATGGTATGCGTACAGTATCAAGAGGATTATCACAACTGGAATGGTAACACTTTCACAAGTGATCCAAATCACACTTGTCGCTAAGAGCCAACCACATACTGTCTATACACAACACCCCTCCCTTTCTTCAGTCTCTGCAAGATGCCATCTGCCTCCAAAACAGAGGATGGTACACAGTTTGAGGTGGGAAATAAGGAAAACTAGATTCAATTCCAAAAGCAAAACAGAATGGCATGCTAATTATGTTCAGCTTTTAACAGTAGCTACTGTTCCAAAGAGCATCATAGCAACATGAGCAATAGCAGTCAGGAATAAATTTCTTATTCAAAAGTTGAAGCATTCAAAGTGGTTTTTCTAATCATGCTGAAACACCACTACATTTTGATGCAGAAGAAAGATCCTCAACTTCTGCAAAGGGTAACTCTTACTTTTTCAGGGAGTTTTTTCTCTCTAGTCAGATTATTGACCAATCCAGTCATATTATAAAGTCACAGAATGTATTGGGTTGGAAGGGACTTTTAAAGATCATCTAACCCAACCCCCATTATGATCTAGTCGGATTATTGCAGAGAATCTATTGGGGAGAATCTATCCCCCCATCCTAGCCCTAACAAGTATTTACCAAACAGTATATCTACGCATCATGAGTATTGGTTAGCTTTCGGTTTCCCAGAAGCATGTGTGCAATCTTTGTAAACACTTCATTAAGTCAGATAGCAGGTTTCTACAGTCTTGTTAGGGATTATTAGCCAGTAGCGAAAAGGAAATGGAATTCCCAACATTTTTCTTTTTAAAAGAAAGGAAGCGGGCTACCTCTATAGCATCTTACACAAAGTTGATGCAATCTACATTTAGGAAAGGAAGGGACTCTACCATACCTCTTCAAAGGAGTATCTTTCTACAGTAGCAAGTGCATCCTGAGATTCATTCCAGCCTCCCACAGCATAGATACAATCGTTGAGAGTAGCCACACCAAGATACGCTCTTCGGGTGCCCATTGGAGCGAGCTCAGACCAACGTTTAGATATTGGGTTGTAGACTTCAACAGAACGTAGCTCTACTCCTTCATTGCTGATACCACCAACAACATAAATCAAGCCTGTAGAAAGAGAGTTTCTTCTCTGTTAGGTTTCGTAATACAGAGGTTTGAAAGATATAAAATGTTTGCCACAGTGCAAGTTTCAGCCTGACATTATCTGGCAGTTTTAAGCCATCTTTAAAATCCTCCATTTGTCCAGTAGTAGCACACATAAAAAACTTCCAATTGAGCAACTTGAGGCTCAAGCACTAGAAGATTGGATGAAAGCAATAATTAATCCAGTGCAGGGGAGAGAATTCAGAAGGCTGCAATTGCTGACCAGGCTTGGTCAGCTTGTACTTAATAAGTACACTTCTAGATCAAGTCTTTAGACATGTCCATCTTAAAATAACCTGTGGCAACTCTTCAAATTGTCAAACACACACACACACACACACAAACCCGAATACAGAAGGTAAATAAAAGCCGTATCAGCGATCAGCTGTTAAAGACTGGCTGGATAACCCTACTGGCAGCCACATAAAAACTCTTTTCATGAGATAAAAGGCAGAAGACAGAGAGGACTTTGAGTTCTGCAGAATTACAAACAGGGTACTAGAAGAACAAATAAGTGAGGCACAAGCAACTGACGACACAGTACAAGACAAAGGTAAAAATTCATGACTGAAACATAAAGCTTCAAAATTGAATGGTTCTTGGAACTGGTTATGGATATAACTTAATAATCCTCACCTTGCATTTCACAACACCCAAAGTAGTAACGGGGCACAGCCATGCTTCCCATAACTTCCCAACTATTTTCTTCAGGATCAAATCTTTCAATTGTGTTGCCAATCTCTGCTCCAACCCAGCCTCCTGCAAAGAACAGCAAACAC